GTAGATTGGGTGAAAAATGGATTAATTTGGAGAAAAATTGACATATTTCACGTATATCACTAGTTCCAATGTATCCAGCAAACGTTATTTCTTTCAAATATGGAAATTTAATGTTGTTGTTTAGTTCCAGTGCATTGGATAGAGTTCTAGGAATGTTGTTACCATAGAGAGAGAGCGTAGAGCAATGAAGTAATTGTGGTAAAGTAATATGTGAATCAGATGTAAGTTTAAGTTCAAATGTTGTTCGACAAATTGTATAGTCGAAGGGTTGAGGTTGTGGAAGAGCAAAAGTGATGTAGCTGGAATCTGGTAATTCATGAAAATTTGTAAACAATGAATTAGGTGGAAAGTTTGTGCGAATAAAATATTCGAAAGTGTCTAAGTGAGTAAAATTACTCACTAATTTATGAAATAATTCATAGTTTGAAAAGTTTTTTTCTTTTATAATAGCAATCAACGTAAGTGATGTGAGATTATCCTTAAATATATTTAAAAACTTCATCGTAATATTAAAATTTGATTGTTGTTCTTGTGTATCATCCTGACCAAGTTCTAAGTGCAATTTATATAATGTTCTTGGTACTTCAAATCGACTTAAAGAGTTTGGATGAATAGAAGATAAGATTGATAAATGGAGTTCTTCAAGATTTGTCGTCATTGAGAATAGTTTTCTTAATATTCTAATTGATAGTATATTGATTGACAAACGTTTCAGATAAGGCATTTTAGAAACACCATCAAGATGAAGAAAACCACCTGGAGTCAATAGAGTCAGTGTTGTTAAGTTAGATAGTACAGATAAAGAAATAGACTTTAGACTTTGATGTCTTCTAGCAAAAAATATGGACAGTTTAGATAACGACGGAAGACATGCAGCGTCAGTGATCAACTGATCTTGTTCTTCGGAAGTACTGGATCTATCGAACTCTATTGTGAGAGATTTTAAGTTAGTCAAATGACGAATATGTGAAGAAAGATTTTGAAGTAATTCTTTGCTATTCAATTTGAGAGTTCGAATTGCTTGATTGTGTAATGGAAGTATATGTTTTAGAAATAATAGGAAATATTTATTGGAAATTTTGTCTTGTGTGAGATCAATGTCGATGTAATAGGGTTTGATTATACGTTGAAAACGTTCGTTAAGATTGTTAAATGAGTAAAGCATATCGAATTTGTGTAGATAACGAAAAATAAATAAGATTATTTCATCGGGTAAAGACTCCATTATGTTTACAAACTAAAATGAAGAAAAAAAACACAAAATGTGCGTCTTTGATTTATCAATTAAAGGTAATGAAGGGAAAAAAAGAAAAGTTGTGTAATAACTAATTTATGAGTCATTATTATGATTCTACAGAGTGACTCAGAAGAAAAACGATTGAGTAGAAAAGAGCGATTCACATACTGACATTTTTCCTTTTTATCGAATCATATAGAGATCGAAATAAATGAGAAAAAGACGTCTTGTAAAAAGTAAATCTTGAACATTTGCAAAAACGAAGTCTATTACAACTCGAAACTCTATAGAATTATACATCCTGTTGAAAAGACGGGTATTTCTTAAAAAAATAACTGTCGATTTTGCATTTATATAGTAGTCGACGATCTTGCCACTCGTCTTTCCCGATTCTTGTTTTTCTTGATGATTAGACAAGATTCTTTATGGTCATGATAGGGTGTGGACGATGGTAAATACTCTTTTGACTACGTCCACACCCATACCCTCAAGATGTACAACTCAATGGAATTTCAATCTATTTAATTGTGATTTTTCATGTTATTATGAAGAAAAATTTTATATTTAATGTCCTGTTATACCTATAATGATTATATTTATTATCAGTTTATTCTTAATTATTCAAGTTATTTATCAAAAGAGAATTTAACAATAAATTGTTCATTTACGACGTGATCGTAAAACAATTTTTCAATTATGGATTATCTCATCATTCTATATGACATTTTGGCTTTCTGTTATAATAACAATATTTATTCAAATGACATTTTTACCATGATTTATAATGAATAAAGTAGAAACTATGCAATTTATAGTTTATTTTATACCTCTTTTATTGCCATTCATGTGTCTTACACAACATTTCTTGGATTGATTAGAATATTGATCAGTATTTTCAAAAGATTAAAAAGGAATATTATACTATAGTTATTTAACGATAGATAAGCCGTATTTTATTTTGAATAAATGTGATTTAATTAACAATTAATTTCTAGGGAACACAATAAAATAGTATATATTCTACAACTACCAACTAATAATTGAATATATGTACATCAATTAGTTGTATTTACATTTAGATATCCGTGAGGATGATTGCTTATTCTGGATTCATTCTGCCATTTCTTTCGTCTAAAGTAGAAAAATTCATAAGTATAATTGAATGAAATGAGACAAGAACTAATAATTTATACATACCGACTAAAAAACCAAATCTAAATAAACAAAACTAATATATTAGCATACAAAAAAAAGTACACTTTATCTTACTTTAACTTGTCGTTCATTTAAACCTAATTTACGAGCAATTCGAATACGTCCATGACGTGTCATATATCTGCATATATATATATATATTGATAGATAAATCGAAAACAATTTTTTTTCCCTTACTTAGCATAAATAAATTCAATTTCTAATGCAGCTATTTGATCACTCGTGAATTGTCGTTCAATACGCTGATGTTTACGATTCGATTCTAGAAAGAACAAGAAAATTCTCAATGATATTTGATGATAATGTTGATAGTAGATTACCATTAATTGATTGGTTTTGTCCATGATGAGATGTAGCTATTGCCATTATATCCAAATTTGAATTTTGTATAAATATAAATGTGAGTATGTTTAGAAAAGAATGAGTCTAATGCGGCAACTAACTCTCGCTTTATATATGAATAGAGATGCAACGATTTTCAGGACATGACTTATGTGTATCATTTAACCGGTCAAGTATGTAAAGGTTAACATATGCTATGTATGTGGGTGCATTAACCTTTTGACCGATAGTTACTACCTCTGTTGCATTGAGTATTTTATATTGATGAATAGCGATCATCATATAGCCATTGAGGTTGTCAGTGCGATCAAAGAAAAAAAGAAACCAAAACTGTTAATGAATGTGAATATTTCGTTACATAAAATTTCACTTTTATCTCTCTAATATTTTATTAAATCAACTGAATATTCTACGGGAAAAAAAGCTATTTTTTTAAAATAATCAAAATTTAAGATAATGAAAATCCTCTATCAACTATAACATTTTGTCCAGTCATTTAGTTTGAATCTTCACTAGCAAGATAGAATCTTTTGATACATTTCCATATGTTGCAGTACTGAGCTATTATTCCTTTGCTGATGATTTGTTTAGGTTTATGGACGGTGAAAAATAATCGAACTACGATTCGAGTTGCTCGTGTTTGTTTAACAACTACTGGAACAACAAATAATATTCAATCCACTATCCTTCTATATCAACAAATTACTCAAAATTGGTCGACGACGTTTTTTACAAAGTCCAGTAAAAGGGTTTCTCTTTGTTGTTTTGTATTGGATATTTTATTAACATATTAGTATCAACAAGGTAACGCTCATCTTTTGGATTCGCTGACTCTTTTCTAAAAGAATCGTAATTAGTGCTCAGGATACTCAAATACTTTAGATAGAGACCAACGTGATGTAAACGTTGCTGAAGTTTTCACTCAATCGACCTCTTTTCAATGAAATCCAGTATCTTTATTATAATATTCATAGTCAGAATCTATTCTTGAGAGTGTGGGTGTTGATGATGCTAAGTAATCATTTGACCACACTCACCATGCGCGGATCGATATATAATATCTAATCATTATACTTGTTTCAATTCTTGGTAGTAATTTACGAACATCAACAAAAAGTACTGAATAATGATAAATTGAATTATTTAACTGGTACATTTATTAGTAATGATGAATATTTTTTTTCTATTCTAATAAACAATTTATTCAAATATTAAATCTACTACATAACAATAAGAAAAATCCTAATAAAACAATATAATCATGTCCATTTTATATAAACATCATTTTTAACTTGTTCAATAATAAAATCATTAAGTAATTTATGTTCTTTAATTATTTTAGTTAAATATTCGATCATATCATTGGCAAAATTTGGCATAGTAATTGATAATAATCGAAGTTTATTATCTATTTTTGATCGAACATGAGATAATATAAGTCCTACAAATGATTCAGCATATTTATAATCTTCACAATGAACATGAAGATGATTAACATGAAAACAAATAATCATTAAAAAATAAATATCTGCCTTTTGATGCACACCACTAAAAGAAATTTTTTGAAAATGATTTTCATGAAATAATAAATATAATGATTGACGTTCTTCATAACTTATAGATGTTGGATCAGTAAATGATAATCGCGATAATGTTAATGTTTCAATATCAGGTAATAGAACTAAAATTTTATATAAGTTTTCAAGAGAAATTGCCACTGAGATTTGTAAGTGATAGATTTGTGTAATAGTCAATGCATGATAAATATGATCATTAATACTAATTGATTTAACCCATCTTTCAGGTGATTTCTCACCTATTTCAAATGCAACAGATTTCAATAATTGATTTGATTTCGAATTATAATCGTACCATTTTTTTCTAAAATGAATATAAATTAGATAAAAAAGCGATTTTCATTTTCGAATTTACTTATATGGTTGAATTGAATAAATTAAATGTTCAAAATCATTTTCAACTTTAAATATCCATTTTCGTTCAAGCCAAAATGTTGAGCTAAATTCATTTTGTTCTCCTAAATACATCGGTGTTTGATAATCTTCCGAAAAATGTACAGTTTTTTTAAAATAAAATTTTTCTAATTGTGATAAATTTTCTTGAAGAAAACATTCCCATCGTTTAGCATTAAGATATGACATATCTTCATCTTTTATATCTAATGATAAAATTTTTAAATTAATTTCGAATTTTTTAATAAGAATTTCAAATTCATCAAATGTCATCTCATAGATTTCTATTGAAAGTTTTGTTAAATAAATTAATTTAATTGGCTCAATAATATTTAAGTTATTTTCATCAACAGGATTTAAAAATTTTAAATAACGAACGTTTGGTGTATATGATAATAAAATAAAAAGATTTTTAATAGAACAATCATGATCCATAATAAAATATTCAATTGATGTTTTTTGCTGATCAGTTGCTATTGGTAATGAAGTAACTATATCAATATCTTTCATTTCAACTATTCGATATTTAAAATATTTTAATTTTGGTAGATTAAAAATTAATTGATAAATATTAGTACAATTTTGATTTTCGATCCATAGATCAAGTGTTAATGAATAGAAATTAGGGAAAGATGCTAATTGATCAATAAGTGATAATAAAATATTTGATTTAATAGAATAAAGACGAAGTGATTGAAGAGATTGAAATAATAATAGATCAGATTTAATTATTGGAATTATCTTAGTTGTATTTTCACCGAATGAATGTATTGATATTATTTGATGAGGATGATAATGGAGAATTTCCTTATAATTATTAAGAAGAAGTTCTTTTGATGGAAGACGATTATCATCTAATTTTAATCGTGTTAATGAAGAATTGAGAAGTAATTGAAATCGATTGTTAAGCTTTGAGAATCCATTAAAAATTACATATGCATCAAAATATTCGAAAATTTCATAGAAAATTTCATTTGGGAAATGTTCGATTGTTGTTATCGACATACTACTAACTGAATGTTTTTCTTAAGACTGACTGAATATCGAAATCGATCGTTATTCTTTCTTTCGTCTATTCGATATGACTATATAAATAGTTTCTCGATAGATGTCCTACGTATAAATACAAGATATACAATTTATTTAACTTTCTCTAAAGAAAATTTTTCTAATTTTGTTGGAGAAAATATTTCCATCGTTTAGGATTAAGATATAACATATCTTCATATTACTTTCGTTTTTTTTCTATTCGCAAAAGATTTTATTTCTTTTTTTCTTGTATTAATTATGAAATTAATCAAGAAAAAAAACTATTTTAATGCTTTTTCTGATTTTATTTCATGAAAAATATACAAAACAATAAAATATTTGAAATATACAATTTACAATACAGTGTTTAACTAATATAATGTTGACGAATAGATGCTGGAATACCCG